CCCTTTTGCACCAAGTGATTCTTCTTTGCACTGATTTTATTCAGGAATCTGTTTCGTGACTCTTCAACTCAACCTACATACTGACTGTTAGTACTGCATTAGGACAGACTGGGCTGCCCCATTTCCCCAAAAGATACCTTAAAAAATGTCTCAGCCATGTCAGGAAAAGAAAACTCTGAAGACTAAGCCTTCACACTGGTGTTCTGGTGACACTGACCTTCTTCAGCACGCTGTCCAGCGTCTCCGGACGGCTGATGTCGAAGCAGATGAGCACAGCGTCTGAGTCGGGGTAAGCCAGCGGCCGCACATTGTCGTAGTAGGCCGAACCTGCGGGTGAAAAACATCACGCAGACGTGAGCAACACATGGATGATATGTAATTTAATGTCTTTGCCGAAGAGTTAACGCTTTTCTGTCGCAACGTGAGTCACTACGGAGCACATTGGGCCGTAATAACTGTGATTAAATGCAATTATCATGAACTAAGCCGCTCTGCAGATGACTACGAGTGGGTGTGATTCATGCAAACAGAGGGGCCTCGTCCACAACCCCTGGCCCGCGCCCGGCCGTCTTCAATAAGCCCAAAGACAGACATGTGACAGTGATATAATGAATGGCTCGCACAAAGCGTCACCTGGTATTCCGGAGTGGCATGTTTTTTAGTCGGGGGGGCCCAGCCTGAATTGAGTATTGTGACCTGGGCAAGGGGACGCATTCCTATCCTGAGAGGACAACATTCCCTCTCCGCTTCCCTCATTGTCTTCAACACTAGGTGCTTTTGTCGCCGCGCACAGAGCTTTGGCGACTTAACAAAAAGTGCGTCGGACAGAAAATTCCCACCGAGTCCAACTGAATCCACACGTCTGCCGCATGTGTGGCGCAAACATAAACACGTCGACGGTCGCCCAACTTCTGAATTAAAAAATACCAAAGCAGACCTCTTTTTAAAAGTTTGACATTTTCCTCTGACTTTAGACAATTCTGAATATTAGCTAATAAACCTATTTAAACCAAAACACCTCAGTTTCTCTGTAAACAGGAGCTGAGCTGCACTCAGAGTGAAAAAATCCAATCAAACATGACCAACTCCTCAGCGCACCATTAGCCCATTAGCCAAAGCAATTAACAGAGACTCTCACAGGTTCCAGCTGTGTGCAGTTGCAGATAAATCATTCATTTATGAAGGAGGTGGGTGGAGGTGAGCGGATCCTCCTCACCCGATGCACACGAACTGATCAAATGGAGTCAGACATTTTAGTTTTTATTTCACCCTGAAATGTTTGCACAGCACCGACCCGCAAAGATACTTCAGCTACAAATGCACAAATAGTGTTTTTACAACCTTTTGTGTTTGTTTGTTTTTTATTTACATCGGATGTTTGTTTTTCTGTAACCCTCTGAACCTGAAAACTGTTCATCAGTTTTGAAAGACAGGTTATCTTTTAAAACAATCCAAAATTTATTAGAGTCAGAAGCAGTAAAAGTGAAGAGAATAATTAAATTGTTAACTTTTCGATAGTCCTTGAACTTGCTGTTTGGAAACTTGACTAAATCTAAGCTGGAAAAACAGTCGTGACTCGATGATCCAACACTAAATGTAGAACCTTCTTTTATGTCGGATAGCAAGGCTGTCGGATTGTCAAGACGGAGGTCGAGATACAAGGAGGGCTTGATGCTGGAAGGCTCATTTGTTGTTAATTATTGTTCATAGTTGTTATAATAACTAGTAGGGCTGGTCCAAATAGCACTTTCTGGTCTCTGGATATTCAGGCCCAATTAATGATAAATATCAGAATATTCGGCGCGGTCGGGGGACACTTCCAGCGCTTCAACAAGGTGGAAGTGGCCGGAACGCACAGACAGTACTTGGCTGCTGATGCCAGTTTAGTTGGTGGTCACAGTTCTGTTTCCACCATCTCCACTGAGCACGCTCACTGTGTGACGTCATCGTGTCCTCTTCTGCTCATGCGGGACACTTTTGGGTCGTATGAAGTTCACACAGCAGATCACATACAAGTCGCATTTAATTGGAAATGTGAACGAACTCACAAAAAAATCGGATTTCACAAAAAAAAAAATTCTAATTGAGCATCAAGTCCTGCAGTCTGAACGTAGCCAATCTGTGGGATTGTTCAGTCAGATAATACGCCGTTATCCTGATTTGTGACATTAAATGTCATGTCAGAGTCAGAATCCAAGGCTGTCGGTATGTTAAGGCTATTTTTAATGGGTTCGTTTTTCCTAAAAACCTGTCGGATAGCAAGGTTTAGGATTGTTACAGAGGTAGATAGTAAAATATCTATTGTGTGTAGATGCATTTTTTCTGGTATTGGTAGCACCCGTGGGCACTTCGAATTTTAAAAAAAAAAAATCTTGATAAATAAATAATCTAAGAAATTCAGCTTTCACTTTTTCTGCCTTTATGATTTAGAGCGTTATAACTTTGCTAAAGTGCACAGAAGACATATTTAAATCCTCTCTATCACTATGAGTCAGCTACAGAAATACGTTGTCATTTTCCCTTTAAATATACAGTTTGTGTACTCATGGTTACGCTGCATCTACAGATAATAACAGAATGTTTTTCCAAATTCTTTCCACATTTTAGTATTTAAATTAGGGAGTGAAAGTGTGAATATAATTAGTCAGAATTGGCCAAAAGCATGACCAAAAAACACCAAAAGCATTCGTTTTAAAAGTTAGGTCCAAGTCATCTCTCATTTCGCTGACGCAGCACGAACACACCTGCAGGCAGCTACAGTACGTGAACGAGACACGGGCCAAAAAAAGCCGACACATTTACCCTCATTTGTGTTGTGCTGTCAGAATTTGGCCTCAAAGCAAAACGTGTTTGCTCCTTTGTGTTGCTGTGGTCAAAAATGTCAAACTAAAGGCCACTACCATTTTTTTCCCCTCCTCCTCCTCCTCTGTCTCTCTTTGACTAATTCCCGCTCCTGGGTTTCACACATAAAGCACACCCACTGTCCCTTTTATGTTTAGCAGAAGCAGATTAAGCCTTAACATCCACAGAAAATGAGGATGATTAAGTGAATAAAGGGCGAGGTAACAAAGTGAGAGCTGGAAGTGCATGTGACAGTCCCCGTAAAGCGCCTATAGGGGCTCCTCAGACTCACAAACACCCGCCGGCATCAGTGAACCGGCTCAGACAGCTGCAGCTCAGCTTCACACCGTCGCCTTCACCTCTGCATCTGCTGTGATCAGTTACAGAGTTGTAAAAAAAAAAAGTTCTAGTCTTTGTAATCTGGGCTGGAGTTGCTCCCCTACATTTTTTCTGACAGCGTTTTTTTTTGTCCCGGTGCCAGACATGTGGGTCAGAAAAGAAAAATAGCAAGAAGACCACGAGAGATCCTCGCCGCGTGAACTGAAATTTACTATATGAAATACTGCCGGCCCCAGTAGGATGAAGACGCTGTAAAAGAAGTCATTTCCAGAGCTGCTTAGCCAGCACTTTTGCCAGTGCACCAGGTCTATATAGGCTACAGCTATGCAGAGTAATGTCTTTTATTCAGGTACTATCATTAGAACTCGTGCCGACCATTGCAAAACAGCAAAGGGATGTATTTGCCCACGCATCTGAAGGTAGAGACAACAAACGATAGCATGTAAGTTAAAATATTTCTCTCATTTGTGCACCAGAACATCTCGAGTGTGTGGATATGAGCAAACGCTGGCCGCATCGGTGCATATGGAGCGAAATTATTGCCATCAAGAAATCCCAAATATGTGTTTGACAGAACTGACATAATAACGGTGTTGTTTTCTGACAGCGTTTATTACTCGGCTGTTATTATTCAGCTGTGAAGTGTCACGCTCGCTACACATCTCTTCTTAAGCATCAGTATGAGGCCGTAATGACAACTAAAGTGCCTCTGAGTTTTATTCTAAGCAAAGTTTCTGCGTTCGGCATTTCTCTCCACAACACAACGAGTGCATCCTTGAGGTCAAACACGCCGAATGCACTTTGTTCCTTATATAACTGAGAACATTTTGAAACCTGCGCTGTTTACATCCCTTTTTCAACAACCAGCAGTTCTTCTTCTTCTTCTCTGCCTTTGTTGGCACGTTGCTGTATTTTTTTTTTCCCGGCACTTTACAGAAAGCTGTAGATCTGTGGAATGTTTTTAAATCACTTGCAGGACACAACATAGATGAAGTGAGGATAAAAACGACGCTCTAGTGATGCTTGTGAGCCACTTTTAAAACTGTTTAAATGTCATAATTGTTGTTAAAGAATGGACGAAAAGCAATATTTCCGTAGAATTGTAATAAAATTAAAGCATTTTTATGCATTTGTAGGGAGAAAAGGCAGAAAATTAGCTTAAATTACATCTATTTTTTTCAGTGATTGTTGTATATACGCTCTTCTATTGGGATAATTAGGCTTTTCCAGTGAATGTACTAAAAAAGAGTGTTGCAGAATACTAAATGATATTATAATAAAACTCCATTGTGCAATTTTTAAAAGCCATTTTACACAACTTCCCGCTCTTCTACATCTACATCTATATCTAAATAATGCATCCATCCATTATCTATACACCGCTTAATCCTCACTCGGGTCGCGGGGGGACGAGGGCAAAGGCAGGTTCACCTGGACAGGTCACCAGTCTATCACAGGGCTACACTTAGAGACAGACAACCAAGCACACTCACATTCACACCTACGGACAATTTAGAATCACCAATTAACCTCAGCATGTTTTGTGGGAGGAAGCCGTATAACCTGGGGAGAACCCACAGAGAACATGGAGACTCCACGTAGAAAGATCCCGGGTGTCCTCACCAGGACATGAACCAGCGACCTTCTATCTGCGAGGCAACACTGCTAACCACCGCTCCACCTTGCAGCCCAAGAAAGAAATAATGGAAATGCAAATTTAACTTTCTCCACTATAAACGTCAGTGCAACACGGCTGGTAAATTAGGTCACAAATGTTTCCAAAAAACCTTAAAAACTGGCAGGAACTGTGTGAAGTGTTGATCCCTCCCTGCACCGAGGGAAACATCAAAGGCAGGTAACCGGAGATCAGTCCAGTCGACGGCGTTCCCTCGCTCTTATCTAACGTGTATGTGCAGAACTGCTTCGTCTCAGGACCTTCCGCCCATTAAGATAACACGAGCTGTTTGTTTTGCGGCCTGTCTGTCGCGTTCAGCTGATTGTTTTACTCCGGTGTGTTCAGCTACTCCTTCAGCAGCTCTACATTGTTTATTGTGCTGCCAAGTCCTCCGTTCGGTCCGCCTGCCGCTTCCAGAATAAACAGACATCAGGGCTCTCGTGAGAGTCCAATCTCTCTGAATCCTCCTCTT